ACGAACAGTGCTACTTCAAGGCGGTGTCCCCAGGAGAGGACATTTTTGTAATTTTTGAAAAAAAAACAAAAAAAGAATAGGACAAAATGACGTTTATGTCATCTCATGAATTACATTTTTAGCACTTCTATCATCTAAACTATCAAAAGTTTAAAGATAGAATTTGAAACCGTTTTGGAGGAAATCTTTTAATTATTTTTTAGAATTGAAGATATTACCCGCAATATTGCACGATAACTAATAAAATTTTCCAAAAATGTGCATGACGTTAATGAAAGAACTAATTATGGACCATAAATTTCTTGTGAAGGAAAAATCTTTATTTTCAATATTGTGGCCACCTTTATAAGTGTATTTCATTCCATTCTTACAAGAAATTTAAAGAAAAAATATGGAGCCGATTTTGAGAAAATTTTTTAAATTCCCAAAGGCTTAATGTCAAAAAACCCCAATAATTAATGAATGTGTTGCAAAACGCAGAGCTTTGGCTCAGACCATATCGACAAGAATTTCTTCAATTCTAAAAAATCCTACACATTGTTTCGGCGCTACTGTTGTTCCAATACACCAGACACACAGACGGGCAGAGGACGGACGGACGTTTTGAAGGGAAAAAAGCAACATTATACAATTTTCTCCGTACTACGTATATTACTCTTAATATACTTACGTTTACGAGAAAGTAGAAGCACTGTGGCGTCATATCAGTCGCCTTTTACAAACGTGACAAAATATTAGCCACGTGCATTTCATGCTCACGGACAACGCTGGCGGGAAGAGACGCCGGGCTGCACAATGGCAAACCTAGGGAGAGGAAGGGAAGGGGTGCCGTGTCATAGGTGGCCACTTGTGAACCCCGTAGACCACTTGGGGCAAACTTGTGAACCCCGTAGACAGGCTAGCTGCGGAAACGCGTCGGCGGAAACTGCGAGATAACGCAGTTCCGTCAGCCGGCCCAGAAGGTAATATAAACTGACCCCGGACCTAAACTCCTTCTTCTGATTCTTGGGCGCGTCGGTAGAACGTCGTGTGGGTTGTGTACGACGCTGCATTTCAATGCATAGGCTACTGAGGCAGGGAACTGAAGCCGGCGTGCTACGTCGAGACGGAAGGTGCGGCATACTCGCTTGTATGCACACGCAGGCTATTGGTGCATCACATCGAATAAGATATCTAATTACCAGGCCAGCGGTGGTGGTGACCGGGAACATTCCTTCTAGTAACGGATCAACATTGTTTATTGTTATTATTGTACATAGAATTCAGATGTTGGAGCATATTTCAAATAAATACTCAATAAATTACAAACCGTTCACGTGTGATTTATTGCTCCGGCAAAGACGCCACAGCACTAATAGCAGTCTGCTGCCGAATACTGAAAAAATTACAGGAATATACCGGTGATTGGGACACGATTGGGATTGACTGAAATGTCTAAAGAGGAACATTCGCTTGTGTCTGTCGACCGAGGCTAGACTAGCAACCGTATGGTGAATGTTCTTGCACATTGTGCAGAACGAAAAATCGGACAATAATAATAATACGAATACTGCAACTACTAATGAATTATGCAATACAATAAAAATAATCATTTTTGTATGGTTTTACAATAAATAATAATCATAGGTGATACCACGAGTGCTTTGGAAATTGTTGAAAAATTCCTAACTCAGTAAGCGAGGGGGGATTTATCTTATAATTTCCATGGCATGAGTGGTATTTAATAGGACTATTCCAGAAGTGAAATTATGTCCAACAAAGTTCCAAAATGCGCCAAATATTTAAAATAACTGAAAGCTGTGATAAAATCAAAAAAGGTTATGTTATACTCTATACGCTGTTTATTCGACATACGAGATTTATTCGAAGTTGCGATCGATGAATACCGCCTCCTAAGACAGCTGAGTAACATTTTATGATTTACCAGTAGGTAGAAGCTTTAAGAAAAATTAGAAAAAGCTATAAACTTTTTGAGATACATTGTCCTGATTGGAGCATTTTGTATATATAGTTAAACATTATTGGTTCTAATTTCACGAGTGGAATAGCCATAATAAATTTAAGTATATGATAGAATAATTGTAGAAAATTTCCAAATGGTAAAAATTATATTCTAAAAGTATTGTAAAAAAAATATTAAAATTTCAAAAGTTGAAATTGCCGCCTTAAAGGAACGTCACTTCCTTACGGTAAGCTATTTTCATTCAAATGACTATCGAAGTTGCCGCCATATCGAGCCCCAACATATCGATTCTGCAAATGTCTCTTTCCGGTTTCTGTTGGTAGGTACTTGTGTTACGCGGCGTATGGTGTTAAAAGTTGCTTGTGGATGATAAAATAGAATCAAAATGAGTGAAGAGTTACCAGCCGTGGAAGAAGTTCCACATTTTAACGCTCCGGTGATTCAAGACAATCCTTCAGGATGGGGGCCTTGCGAAATGCCGGATAAGTTCAAAGACATGCCGTATCAACCATTTTCGAAAGGGGACCGCCTAGGGAAAGTAAGCACGTGAAGCCGTGTCCCTGACATATGGAAAGTAATTGTTTAAAAGATGCCATTTCTTTTAAGAATTCATATGTGACTGTTTCAGATCTCCGATTGGACTGGAGCAGCTTTTCAGGATAAAAAATACGCCAGTGAGTATCATTGTTTCTGCTTCTTTATTGCAGAAGTGAGATGTCGGAGGATTTCTGATGTAAGTTTATGAATCGTGTGACGTGTAATGTTGTCTGATCATAAGATGATATTCGGTTCTCCAGGCAAGTACGCTTCCCAGTTTGGTGGTGGTAGTAGCCAATATGCTTATTATCATGATGAAGATGAAAGCACATTTCACTTGGTGGATACTACTCGCATTCAAAAGCCTCCATATCAAAGAGGAAGATTCCGGCAGAATCAGAGAAATATGCGAGGCCGTGGTGGTCAGCGAGGGATTCAGAACCAACTTCAGATGTTGGGCAAGGGCTTAAAACTCAGGGACAGGTTGGTATAAACTTGGGGCCGGTGATGGTAGTTTTGTAGGGCCAGATTGTGTACAGTTAACATACAAAATGTATATTATTTATTTAGTCGAAACCAGCGACAGCCGCGTAAGTGGCCTCAAAGAACTGGGTTACGCAACAACAAGAATCAGCTCCCCATTAAGAGTAGAGATGCGTCTGTAACTGTACAGTCAAATTGGACAACTATTGAAGAAATGGATTTTCCTCGTTTAGCAAAACTTTCGCTTCCAAATGTAAAGGAAGGAGAAGATATGTAAGTTTTAAAAACTTATTACAACTCGTTTATTCAATATGCTTCACGTTTTTTCTAACCCCAATTTTTTTCCTGCAGTACTTGTTGTGGTTCTCTTGAATATTACGACAAGGCTTATGATCGTGTTAATGTCAAGAGTGAAAAGCCTCTGCAGAGAATTGATCGTATTTTTCACACAGTCACAACAACTGATGACCCCATTATTCGCAAATTGTCCAAGACTGATGGCACTGTGTTTGCAACAGATGCCATTCTAGCTACTCTTATGTGCTGCACTAGATCGAACTATTCTTGGGATATTGTGATAGAAAAAATTGGTGACAAGCTCTTCCTGGATAAGAGAGATAATACAGAATTTGGTAAGTAATGTAATTGTACATATGGATATTATTAAAATTTTTATGGAACCAAAGTCTTTCAGGAAATGTGATGTCAGGATGTGTAGCGACCAGGAATTTTTTTCAATCCTGGAAAAACTGGTAATGTTTTCCTAAGTCAGGACTATTTTAATTTTTATAGAATATTTTTAATTAAAATTATTTAATGTTATTAGAATTGAGTTGAACAAATGAGACTTGCTCAATACATTGGTTCTTGTTATTATTAATTTATTACTTAATTAATTATGCATTGTAGTTATATTTATTACTTTTAAGTATTTTAATAATTTATTATAATATTTATATTTTTTATATTATACTATTTATTACAATATTTATCATTAATAATTATTATTTAATTATTTACATTATTGTTCTGTCTGACTTGTCAACAAATTTCACTGCTTAATTTATTACTTGAAAGGAAAGAAAGTTAATTATTTTGACATTGTGTAATTAATTTTATAAATTTAAAATATTAGAGATCTTCTCATTGACTGAGAAATTAGCCAGGACTTTTGTAGCAGAATTTCACTAGGCACTCTGGATCTGTTTAAATGCTCTTGTGTAACTTTTTTTTTTTTTTGAGTGGAGGAAAGTGTTGTATTATTAAAGTCCTGTTAAGTTCACAATTCATCTCTTCTGTATTCTCCTTAAAATTTGTCATTCAAAGATTTGAGCTTTGTGACTAGTCTCGAAATCTTGTATATACATGCTTTTAATGAGAGTAAAAGATAAACAATACTAAATGTTCATTAGCTGACATTGTCATATGTAGCGCAACTGCACTAAAAAAACTGGAATGTCAGCAATCATTGAATTGTATAGATTTTCTTCACTAAAGTGTTATTGATCTAAGTGTGTGTCCCTTAAGATTTATTGACAGTGAACGAGACATCAGTGGAGCCGCCTCAGGATGATGGAAATAGTTTAAATTCTCCAAGGAATTTAGCTTTAGAGGCCACATTTATTAATCACAACTTTTCCCAACAAGTCCTTAAAACTGTAAGTATCTATAATTTTCTAATTTATTAAAATGTATTGTTAATATTTATATCATGTATTTGTGTTATAATGTTGTAGGGTGAGCCACGTTTCAAATTTGATGAACCAAATCCATTTATCTCTGAAGAAGAAGCTGATGAAGTTGCATCTGTTGCGTATCGATATCGCAAATGGGACCTTGACAATGGAGTAGTCTTAATATCACGATGTGAGCATGATGCTGTTATGCAAGGTCCAAATGGTGAATTACAGTTTATCACCATTAAAGCACTTAATGAATGGGATTCAAAGGTAAACAAACAAATCAAGCAACTATGAGTGCCAATATTTCTTTTAAGAGAAAGGCTTTGTTTTTAACAGAAGTGTACATATTGAAGAATGTCCATTATCTGGAGTAGTGACAGGGAAGAGGTAATTCAGAAACCCTAGAAATGGACAATCAACCTCTGGATAATACGAGAATCCACTTTAATTGCATTTTGATATGTTTTTCTTACCTGCTTGTAGTTCTGGAATATTGGTTACGATTCATGGTATAAGATCTTTCAAAGCTCTACTGTAGTGCTGAAAATTTAAAGAGATTTTTACTTTCTCGCCGTTATGAATGTACTTAGTAAGAAGAGAACATTATGTAATTGTGCGCTGGAAAACAGTGAATTTTTAGCTGAAAAACTCTTATTGCTGGGCCCTGGTAATGAAAATGAGAAAATTTGTATGCTATATGTAGGGGGAGGGGGGAAATCTCTAACACGTTGTATAACCAGAATCCATGTGTTGTTGGTTCTTGATTCCGAAAAGTTGATTGATGGCAAAGTCTTTGTCTGTGGTCAAGAATAGCTCTGAAATCATAATCATTCAGTTTTTTTTTTTTTTCCTTTTCTTTTTCTTTCTTCAAAAACGGCACCAATGGTTAAAGTAGGGTACACGGTACACCCTTAGTGATGCGTGGCGGGAAGAAGGGTAAGGGGAGGAGGAGTCTCCTTAAGCACTCCCTCAAATTACGTTAAGCGCTCTGATAGAAATAAACTTGGCAAAACAAATTGGCGAATTTGAAGGTTGTAAAGTTTGGAGGCTCCCTCAAGGAATGACAAAAACCTCCCAGTTGAGTTTGTGCCCCTTTGAAGGCATCTCCAAACATATTCCACCAGGTAGCTGTCGAACTTGCCAGCTGTGTGTAGCGCCAAGTCAGACTACGCTTAATTGCGCTCCATATTCCTTCAATATGATTTGTGTGCACACCAGTTTCAGGGTCTCTAAAACACACAGTGGTTTACAGTGAAATGCTGAAAATCCTCATCTTCTTAGCAGTTATAAGACTTCCAACAGTCTGAGACCACGATGGACCCTGACTTGATGAAAGACTTAATACTCCCTGAAGCTCCCCTCTGCTGCGTGTTTTAATGACCTTGAAAGAGGTGAGGTTTGTCTTTCGTTCAACCCCTCCAAACGTCCATTTCCCAACCAATCTCACTTGCCACAATGTTACTTTCGGTGTCCAAACTTGCTCTCATCTATTTCCACACAGATACCTCCTATCAGTTCACTCTATCAGCTGCGCTGACGCACACCTCATGATATAAGTAATCCAGTCGATCACGGTTCCCTTGCTTATGTTCAGTTCATTCATAATAAATTCACACGGTACTTTCATGACCCAAAGATAGGTCATTTCTAATACCTGAATCGTACTAAACTTTCTTCCCCTGAACCATGACCCCTTCCGCATGGAACACATACACACAAGAGGAGATGCCCATTTTTTGCTACACTTCCACTCGAAATGATCGCACAACTCCTTTCGCTTGGCCAACCTCTTTGGGGACTTATACACAGGACACTTGAATCCTGCAGCAATCAAACCACGTTCTTACGGCCATTCAATGATCACCGAACACCCCTTTCAGTGCAACATGTAAATAAGTTACATTTATTGTCACCATCGCAGCACAGACACTAGACACTCGAAAACAAATCGCAAAGCATTTGTAGAATGCAAGAAACTAAACTGTATGACAGCAACGTAGCTAACCACTTCTACCACAGCTACCTCGACACAGAAAATCAGACGGGCAACACCACGATTTAGCCACCACCACACCATATTTTGTCATGAATCTCTGACAAGATACTACAGTGAAATTGTCTTCCTCCTGAACTTTTGATGTCATGCTTGTGATCAATTACGAACCAGTAAAATTATTTCAAAAGTGTATTTTTTACAATTTATTTAAATTCCGCATGCTTTGCTTTCTATATGTATGGACTAAGTTAGGCATATCGCTCTCAACCCCTCTCACCGAATGGTTCCCTTCATAATCCCCTAAACACCCCTCACCCTCCACCATGGATTTCCCCTTCGCTGGAGCGGTGCAAAGTGCCAGTTTGAAAGACTACCTTAAGTTGCACCATATACAAGAGTTCAGCCACACCAATTTTTACTTTCTTGTATACATATATGGAGTAATATACATAGTTAAGGAAAAGTTATGTAATGCTGTGGAAAATCAATTTTGAGATCTCAATGGAAATACACGTTTTGACATCCCCTGATACGAAAATAGTAATTTTTTCAAAATGTGCCTGTCAGACTATTAATGTCTAGCTAAACCATATGTACAATTTTTTCCAAAATGAATATTGGATGATACGTCTGAAGATATGACGACTGAAGGTGCTGCAATTTCAAAATCTTTCTTTAAAATTTGGGGGCACTTTACACACAGTCCCTGGGACATTTTCAAAAATGGCTCCAAATTTTGTTCGTAAATTTTTTTGAAAGAATAAAGTAAAAAAAAATTAAAGTGGTATGGGTTCAATTTTCATTGTCTATTCTGAATTTTTGAAAATTGCAATTGAAAATTTTGAGTCTTTCTACATTTACAAAATTGAAGATAGTAGTGTTTCCTTCAAAGGAGACTATAGTTACTTTTGTCCTCTATAGTTGATTCTTTGAAGAATACTATGTACAGTTTTTCGAAAACTTTTGCGCACTATTGCAAGCAATATATGCAATAGTAAAAAAGTTCAAAAACAAGATTTTCTCTAAAACTGCTATGATTGGCCATATTGCTCTACTTTTGTTTTTGTGAAAATTATAAAAATGTTCAATAATTGACTTTTTTCTTACGTTGTTAATATTTTCACTTGCAGCGATGTGTTTGCATTATTATAGTTATGCGTACATGTGCTTTAAATAATGTCATGTTTCTCGAAAACTCAAATTGATTAAATTCTATGAAAATTAATTTAAATCCTGCATTTTTCAGAAATGCTTAAAAGCCATTTTGTAAGAAATAGATCAAAATTTGTTCTTCGCACTTTTCCTTATAATAGTGCTAATTGCGTTGTTTAATATGACATAAAGTTCACTTTTGGGTATTCTTTGGTTTTTTAAAAAATTGCAAACTTGTAGTTTTTTTTATATATTTCTCTTGCTGTTAATATGCACATCACCAGCTATTTGTAAACACTGTTGCAGTTATGTGTAAATGTGCTTCAAATAACATCTAATGAAGTTATTTCGATAACTCAAAAGTTTTTTACTATAAAAAGCTTTAAATTTTGCATTTACAGTGTGGCGTAAACACCATTTTAATTACAACAACTCCAAATTTTTCATTGGAAATTGCCATATAAGACAAGCTTTTTTTCTTCTTTAATTATCTTCAATATTTCGGTTCTACTGAAAAATTGAGAAATTAACAAAAAAAATTACTGTGGGCAGCGGTAGATGGCAAGAGAACAGAGCAAGATTATAAAGCTGGCTGTGTCCAAATAAATTAGAAAACTAACTAGTACGAGAAAGTCTGTGTCATACTGTAACCTCTAGTTTTTTTTTTATTAAATATTGTCCTCTAATAGCATAAAGGATACTTAAGAAAATGCGAGAGTCTCATGATCATTGATGCAAAGAATGTGAATTACCTTACACTTCTTTATTCAGAACTTGCATCTTTTCTTTAAGTAATATTTTTGTGCAATTCATTTTATATTATGAAAATTCCTGAAAAATTCCTGAACTAATTTTTCCAGCATATACTTAAAATCGTATGAATAAAAATGAGCCTTTGCTAAAGTCCATCAGTTAATATTGTGAAATTTTCAATCACGAAGGGTATCTTGAGTTTTTGGTGTCAAGATCAGCGAGTGTTGTGGTTTTTGGAGCAGCCGGTATCTGACAAATAAAGAAAATTTTTAAAACAATGTACTTGGTAGAGGTAGTTGGCAGCTGGCAAGAGTAGATTTGCAGCAGCAAAACTAATATGGAAGGTTTGTGCTCTCGTCAACAAACATTAACCTACATAGTTATGTATTATGGATGAGGCTAGTAAAGTATGTTTCTTGTAACAATACTGAAGCAGTTTGGAACTTGAGTATAGTTTCTTACACTATGGCATGTTTGACAAGTGCAAGTGGGGTACCTTGAGATTTAAATGATCTGCAAAGAGAAAAATGCTGCATCCTGCCGTATAGGACAAAGGACAGCAAAGGAATAACAAGAACTAAGGGTACCATGAAATGGGTCAATTTATAGAGGGGGAGGCAAATAAATGGTTCTAATCTTGCTCTTTCCAAATATATTCTCATTTGTCTTCTTGGACACCTGGAAGTCCCTTTAATTCTTATTTAAATGTCCTCGTATGCATTAGCCACTCTCCCTTTTTTGGCGCAAAAAAGAATGGCTATCGTAATTTTGAATGCATGTTAATGAGTTAATGAAACATACTCGTGTTCATACATCAGTTGCATTGGTCTTTTCTACTGAAAAACATGTTCCAGAATACAGTGCAGGAAAGTTCTAGTAGAGCAGTGGGGAACACAACCTTTTTGCCAAAATGTACATATTTTGTAATTATTGTGTATTTTCTCATGAGTATTGTTCCAAATTTATTAATATTTACAGACTTATTTGTTACAGTATTGGAAATAAGTTCACATTTTATATAAAAGTTCCTCAATAACAAAAAAGTTTGTCAATAAATTAGGGCAAAAATTGTAATTGAAAATAACAATACAAATTATTTTTTAATCAACTCGAAAAAATGTCTAAATAATAATGGCTGTGAACAAGATTTAACTGTCTCTTCCAGGTGTACTTCATAACTAAATACAATCATGTTGCTGACTAAGGGTTAATAATTAATTTCATGAAATTTAAAAATCTACAATTGAAGTTATGTTGTAAATACCAAAGCCACATGAACAAGTTTTTGAAAGCTGACTTGAAAAGTTGGTGGGTTGTTTTATTTTATTTAGAGAAGAAATGTAATTATAATTCAGCAAAAAATAATTTTATGAAACTGCGCTAATAACATAAATTGGTGTACGTTAGTTCAATATTATGAAACGTGAAGGATGGTGTTCAGCATTACTGTGGGCTGTATCAATAAATCCTCTTTCAATTATATTTTGCCTTTAGACGTCATTTGCTTAGATATTGAACAGTTTCATGCCTAAAATCAAGTCATAACACAAATTAACAATCAAAAAGAAAGGGTATTTCCCATTTATTATACACGTATAATGCAATGTGAGCCATTCTACATCAAATCGCACAAGAATTGACTTTTTATTATTATCTTTTTTTTTATGATTTTTTATTAAATTTGGACATCAAATATATATGTAGACACACACACACATACACTATGTATATATATGTAGACACACACACACACATCATTTTAAAAAATAAACTTTTTTATAAACTCTTATCAGATAAAGAATTGAAAAAATATAGGCACTTGTTCGATTTTATATAAAACACAAGAAATAAATGTGGCCATTGAACACATTCTGTTCTCAAAAAAATCTATTATAAGTATACGAGCACACGTTTCCTGCTCTTAACGAATTGTGTTCATTGAGTCCTTGCTCCAAGTGCTGTAGAACAATAAAAAGAATGACCATCTGGCTCAATAGGGTTTCAAGAATATTATCTCAAGTGTTCACTGTCTCTAGAAGAAATGGATGACAGCGAAACTAACTCTACTAATGGGCAATTCTCTGGAGAATGAAACCAAGATGTCAAAGATCATATTTTAACAAAAATTGTTTTTGCTGTCATTGGGTAGAACTCACTTTAAATGGAGTGACACAAAACGAGTACTGATATTTTCCAACTTTCTATGAAAAATATTCTTTGTAAAAATCATTTATATGAGAGAAATTTAATTCAAGTTGCAAATAAAAAAGAAAGTGAATGTTGTACTGTTTCTAATTTATTGCGAAGAACAACACATAGAGATCATACAGGTGAAGCGTATATGAGTAGAAGACTTGGTCTTATTAATGTGTAATATAATGTTTTAATTGCATGAGGTTTTGTAATTGTTATTGTTCTTGTGCGAAAACAAAGTATCTTTTTTTGCTTTTGCAACAATGAAATCTATATATTCATTGAATTTTAGGTTTTGGTCAAAAATCATGCCAAAATCTTTAATTTTAATGACAGTTTCTAATTCTTGCCCATTTATCGAATAAGAGGATGTAATTGGATTACTAGACTTGGTATATCTCACGATTTTAAATTTAGGAAGTCCTATTGAAGTTAAAGTTTTTTATAAGTCAGAGCTGACAAATAGACAACATGAGGTACTAAATGTTTGGAATATCTGACGTATATATTCGAATTTGTACTACTTATATGTTGCAACGTGGAAAATCTAAGATATCAGAGAGAAAATATTTAGTTCATATTTTACATTTAACATCGACCCGAGTGTAGGTTTTAATGCTTCCTCCCACTTCAAATTTATAAAGGGGGAGGGGACACCAAAAGTCTTTAAAATGCTTTACACGAAATGTAGATTGTTCCCAATAGTCTTGCACTTCTTTGAATGACTTTGAAGTTAAGCCAATTTCTCTATTTCCTTGGTTATGACTTCTGATTGTCCCACAAAGCAACATCAAGTAGAAATTTTTTTTCTCCAAATCTCAAATAGTTTCATCCTATTTATTTGCCATTATATTTCAATCAGTTTGAATTTGTTGGTGGTTCAATATTGTTAATGGTCTGCCTCAGCAATTTTTTTGTTTTTCAATCCACGATTCGAATTTCTTCCTTAGTCCAGTCTACTAGTCTGATACTGCACTAGGCTACAGGCACCACGAAACTCCCTGTTGCAGATATTTTATTCCTGGAATTCAGAGTGGGCTGCAGGACAGTCACTCTCCTGTAATACTCTCTGCAATATGTTCTCACATTCTTCACTGCCCAGTTAATTGTAAGTTTTAGCGGACTTAAGGTTTTGAATCAGTGTGCTTATAAATGTCAATGCTCTCTAATATCTATTTGCCTCGCTTTAAATTTACTTTTGCACTTTTGTCACAGTCAAATTTCATGCGGATGTTGATAAAATCACTAACGAAGGTCAGCATTTGGGAGGAAATCATTTCACTCTTAGTGAACATTTTTAAAATCCATGAGAAATCCATCCAAAAGAAATGTAACCCAGGTTTTTTTCACAATGGAATATGTTACCAAAGTTAGTGTGCTTAAACTATTTAGATAGTGGAATTAAACTAATTCAAAAGAGCACAAGGGGTATCAAATCACCTCGATAAATTCCCTTGTTAATGTGAATAATTCTCATTTTTACTACTTCCTTTCTGCTGTGTGTTTGTAACCTAGTACTCCAAGGCTTCATATTAGCCTTGCAAAACTCAATAAGTGTAGGATGAAATCGATAGGTCTCTGAGGTCTTCAAAGTCCACTCCTGTGGGAGTCAGACTTTTTGGTGGTCAATCCCAGCCATGCTTAAATTAGGTTTTTGTTTCCTTACATCTTTCAAGATAAGTTCATTTAGAAGCAAGATTTTCTTGCACCTTTCGGAACATAACAACATACTTTTTGATCAACATATGGTTCTTTGTTAGGTTTCTGTACATTTTGTTCACTATGGCTGGAGTTATAACTTTATAGACATACTAATAGACAAGTAATTGACCTGTGATTCTCTGCCAAAGAGCTTGTCTCCTGCTTTGAGTAGCAAATAAGTGATGCTGTGTGTGAGCAATTCAGAGTTTCTTTAGATTTCCTAATTTCTATTAACTGTCTTTGTTAGATGACACTAAAATGCTGTTAATTTCTTAATCCCAAAATTTTCGATCTTATCAATCCTAGAGAATTTTATATTTCCCAGGTTCTTAATTGCTTGGAAGACGTTGTCTTCCAAGAATTCATGAACATGTTCCACTGTCTCCACATGTTTTGAAAGCTCTCAGGCGAGAAAGACCGGCTTATTTCCATTATTTAAGTGTTGCTCGCCCGATGCTTGCCCCTTGAAGAGGTCCAATTCAGTGCCAGAGCTAGACAATTTCGAGCCTGGGCAATGCTGAAAAGAAGCCTCCCTTCCACTCTCAAAAGAAATTGAAAATGTGAAAGTAGTATCAAGAAACTGAGATTTTTATTCCAACTAAAAGAATGTGTAAGTTTCAAAAAGATTTTGAAAATATAATTTAAATAATAGTTTTAAGTAAAAGTATCAGTGATCAAATAATACTGTAACGTTTCTTAGTGGTGAATTAAAACACAAATTTAAAATACACTAAAATTATTTATTTACAGACAGGTTTCACAGTCCTTGTGTTTATCACTTGGTTATTTCATTAGACATGTCTTAGTTCACTCGATTATTTATTTACACTGTTCTGTTTACTTCTTCTGTTTATTTATTTTACACTGTTCACTTCTTCTGGTTGCTTACTTACACTGTTCACGTCTTTAACACTATCGCACAGCCCGATGCACTGTCCACTATTCATTGCGCTGGTTACAGTTCATGGCGCTGATCACGGTCCTCTGCACTGCTGTTCACCGGAATGCACACTTCACAGCTCGGCTTCCACTTCAGACTTCAGTTTATTGGCAGCATCAACTTCAGATTGGAGCCAAGATTAATGTTTGTTGTACGATCTGCTTTCTTCCCAGAGTCCTGCTCCATATGCTTCGATGTCATCTTTCACAAGAGCGATAGCACTATCCTTCAGTTTTTTAGTCAAATTACGATAGAATCTCATTGCGTCTGTTTCAAACAACTGATTCTGTACACTACCTGTACTGATTTTGTATTCTACTTTTGTAATGTCTAATGTGTTGAACCCTTAAGATATTGGCTTCTCAGCTACCATTGTGTTATTTTGAATTTGATATTTTTGTTCACCATGGAATATTGTTCATTCACAAATGAACCTTTTAAAAATTATTTAAAACCTATTTGAAATGTACGAAATAAAAATTGCTAAGCTTCAATGATTATCAGAATCGCAACAATGACATGGCAACTATGACTTAGGAGCTACTTTCTGTGAATTATTTCTTATTGGGACATGATTGACCTGTTGGAAAAGCAGTTATAATTGTCCAAACAGTGTTGATATTTGCTATTTGCTTGAAAATATTTGGTTTTCGATGAGTTTTACACAAATCGATGATTGACATTTGTTAATTTTGAGAGAAATTGTGGTAAAAATAGTATTACATAACCATTACTAAAGGCAAGAAAATACGTGCTGTTTTAGCACCACTATTGTGCACGGGGGGAGGGCTCGGTCACTAACAGTATTTTAATGTCTATAAAATGCTTTATTTCACATTTTATTTACATACTGTGGAATACTTCACAAATTTTGTCATGAAAATATAAGGCAATGACCTGGATAACCTGGAAAAGTCAGGGAAATTCATCTTTGAAAAGTGTTGTCACTTTGATATTCTTGAAAACTTGTAATTTAATTCATCTTAATATAGTATTTAGTTGTTTACTTGATATACTATTTCCTTGTTATATGATTTGCTCAATATACTACTTAGTTGTTAAAAAAAAAAAATTTGCTCTAATATGTATTTCAGATGTTCTAAATCCGGTTGGTATTCTTATGGCAACCCTATATGAAATAACATAGTATGACTTAATGGGATATTGCATGTTCCTTTCCTCCTCCTCCTCCCTCTCTCCTCCCCCCCCCCCTCCCCACTCACCCACACAAATAGCAAAATGTGATATCCTATCACCAATTCACCAACCTGTTACAAAAGTTTTGTATTGTGCCAGCTCGAATTTGGTCTTTATTTTATAGAGTTGGGTATTTTGTTATCTTTGAAAGATACATTGAAGATACTGTTATAATGCAAGTGTAAGGTTTTTGTATTGATCATGTCAGCTTGTTTTCTTCTATTGCTTAGCAACAGTATCAACAGTCCATCTTTGCTACTGTTCGTATGTGATTTTTATTAATCTTGATTGATTGAATGATACATCTCATTGTTTCAGTTATCTGGTGGTGTGGAATGGCGTCAGAAATTGGATACACAGAGAGGTGCTGTGCTTGCCAATGAATTGCGTAATAATGCTTGCAAATTAGCAAAGTGGACTGTGCAAGCTCTTTTGGCTGGTTCTGACCAAATTAAGTTTGGGTAAGTTCATTTTGCTTGTGCAATTCTAATGAATCAAAATATCAGTATGATTTCTTATCTTATAAATTTTTTTATGTGCATGATGTGTACAAATTTCTTCAATTTTTTTCAGTGTAGTGTAGTAACATTTTTGTGTACAATTAGCTATTGAATACATTTTGTATGATGTCTGTTAGAAAAGTATCCGTTCTTTCTTTCTTCAGAAACTTGATGGATGTTTTTTTAATGTGTGTATTGATCATGGTTATTTAAAATAATATTCTCTATACAGGTATGTTGCCAGAGCTCATGTACGTGACTCCTCCAAACACATTATTCTTGGAACTCAGCAGTTCAAGCCTAATGAATTTGCAACTCAGATTACTTTGAACATGGATAACGCATGGGGTATTTTGCGATGCATTGTTGATATTTGCATGAAACAAAAAGATGGTAAATACCTCATTATGAAAGACCCGAATAAGCCAATGATCAGACTTTATGACATTCCGGATAACACTTTCGAATCAGAGAATGAAGATGCAGATGATGAAGATGGCACAGGAGTAGCTGCAGCATTTGGTACTACTCTGACCGTTTAAACGATCTGGTTTGTTACTTGTCACAGGCTGGGCTTACTTGTCACAGAAGGGTTGCTAAGCATGTTCTGGAAATTTGTCCTCCTTTTTACTGATGTGCCTTAGTACCCTCTTGACTTAACGCTGTATTATGAGTGGAAAGGAATCAAAAAGAAAATATGTAATTTTTATTTTTTGGTTTCTATTATTAGCCAGCTTGTCTGGTTTCAGGCACATTTCAATGTATATGGTCTTAGGTGTCCTTAGAAATAAAATGATTGCTTTTATCTGTAATTTATGTGCAGATAAAATATTGCCAGAATGTGCTGTGTAAAATGGCAGCAATGCCAAGTCATATTATCATAAATCAATTATTTCTAAATTAAAATGTCTTCAATAACTTTCAAAATGTTTTTACTTTTTACATCTTTCATTTGTGATAATGGTAATATGTAAGAGAATTGATGGCCAAATCTGAGATACATGTGAGAAAAAATTTGAAACTATAATAAACAGTTACTGGTAATGGTATGTAACTATACATTGTGCAACGCCACACAGCCAATATAGTTAAAGAAATAAACAAAGATTTATAAAATTTAATGTTTTTGTTATTATTTATTTTTTCCTTGTTCATCTAGCTTGAAGAATTAGTTTCCCAGAAATAGATGTATTTCCTTTCTAGAAAATTCACAGAAGTCAAAACGCTGAAAATACATTCCTTGTCAGATCAACATGCTTTTTTTGTGAGTCTCCACCAAAGGGAAATTAAAGGGTGTTGGAAATTTTTACTTTCGGGCAGCAAATCAGATGATCATTAAGTTGTCAGAAACTTAATTCTAAAAACATTGAAAATGAAAAATATTCATTGTTTATAAAGAAGAAAAAAGATTTTGTTAAGCTAAATAGATGATGCAAGTAGTTCAGTTGAATATACAAAAATGTTTGTGTCACTCATACAGCTGAGAGAACGAGAGTGATCTAATTGCATAATTTTTGGTATAAAAAATCTATACTTCTGCCTTGTTATCAGGATTTTCAAAAATTCTGGAAAGGTTTTTCAGTGATAGACTCAAACAGTTTCTCAATGCAAATAATGTCCTTACAAATGCACAACATGGCTTCAGGAGTAATACATCCACAGACCCAGCCATATTCTCCTTTTTAAATGACATACTTGTTGCACTAAATCACAAGGAAATTCCCATTGGCCTTTTCTTAGATTTGTCAAAAGCCTTTGACATCATTGACCATCATATACTTTTAAGAAAACTAAAAATGCTAGGGATTCAAAGCATTGCAGGCCAATAGATCAAATCGTATTTATCAAACTGTAGCCAAATAGTTGCCCTCCAACACACTAAAGAAAACAAAATCTCCTCATACTACTCTTGTCCTCAAATAATAAATTGTGGAGTCCCGCAAGGATCCATCCTTGGGCCAATACTATTCCTTATATACGTAAATGACATGCCTTTGGCTTAAAGGAACAACAAAATAATTTTGTTTGCAGATAACACAATCATCATCATCAAAGCAAAACCACAACAATCATTAGAAAAAGAAACCCACAAAACTTTGCGAGCAGTAGTAAAATGGTTTCAAGACAACAAACTCCTCATAAATACCAGCAAGACAGTCTTTCTAAATTTCAAGAATCTTCGATCTAAAGAAAAAAACTCTCACAGCAGCTGCTCATAAACAATAACCCTGTAACGATATCTCATGAAACTACCTTCCTCGGACTAACAATTCAAGAAAACCTAAAATGGAACACTCTCATCTCAAGTTTCAACAAGAAGCTCAGCAAATCTTGCTATGCCCTATACACCCCTCAGGTCAAGCTCCAACATCGAGACACTTCGAACAATGTATTTTGCAAATGAGCACTCACACCTAAAATATGGAATAATATTCTGGGGAAATGCCCCTGAAAGCACTCGCACATTTATTATCCAAAAAAGAATATTGCGAACAATGACCAGCACTCATAAGCTGGAGTCTTGCAAACCCTTGTTTAATAAATTAAGGATTCTTCCTCTATCATTCATGTACGTATTTGAAATAGTGGTCTTCACAAAGACAATTCTCATGGAAAACAAAGACACTTTTACTTTAAATTCTGATGTACACAATTACAACACCCGTCAAAAGGATATCCTACATGTTCCCCACTCTGAAACTACACTATTAAAAAAGTACCTAATAGAGGGCATTACACTTTATAACAAACTAGGCAATCATATCAAAGACAAACACAATTCATACATTTAAAAGTAAATTGAAAGCTTTCCTGCTTAACAACATGTTCTACAGTGTAAAGGAATTTTCAAATTACAACATTTCCCTTAAAAAATATAAATAAATAAGAATTTCTTATCCCATTAGACTTTCTGTTTCATGTAAACTGTTTCAAGCTGAAGCAAAGAAAAAAGAACTGCATATCATATCCTGTGAAACAGAAGGATAATAGGAGAAGAAAAAAAACTGGTCAAAACTTGCCTCCTCACCATTTCAAGTTATAAATGTAGAATGTACTACTATTATTAAATTTGATGTAGTTGCAAACATAATTGATATGTATTATTAGTGTAATTATTATTATAAGTAGCAGCATTAAAATAACATCTTGAAATGTTAATTATTAGCAGATAATTTATCTACTGTATATCTTAATCTAACTGTAACAAGTATTGTACTTCTAGGCCAATGACCCCATCTCAATCAGGTTTTGTTCAGTTTCCCTGGTCCTTTGAGCAAATGCTGAGATGGCCCCTTGTTTGCTCCTGAACAGTAATGTAACTTCGCTCTCTCCACCCAATGCATCATATTGACTCATCATACACGATTGTAATTGTATATGTGATTCAATAAATGTTGTTGTTATTATTATTATTCATTTTAAAATGTCTTAAATAGCTATCCATGAAATTTGTACAACACAGATGAATAATGGGTTGCTCATGACTAGGGCTTAGACATTTAGGTGCTAAAAACTGGAAAATAGTTATTTTTTATGTGCTTAGAAAGTGAAAAATTTGTTTAAAGAACAGGAATATTTATTACCCATATATGTGCCAGTATCAAAGATCGAGAGAGATCTTTAAGTAAATTGTGATATCCTCTTTAACACTTATGCTTTGCCTGTGCAAACTGGGGAAGTTTGGGAGCTACTCTTGTTTTGTTATTGCTTGGAGTATCATTGTCTGAATTTACAGTAGTGTTAGATATGGCCCTTGTGTCTTGACAGGTTGTGAACCAGACAGCTGATGTGTGACCAGCCGCTGCTATTTAAATTAAAGTTATTAAAATAAATTTAAGTTAAATTTAAAATTAACATTTAACAGATAACAAAGTTAAAAATGCTTATCCCTGTGCAAAAACAGAGGAAAGACTAATGAAATACCAAGGCATCTGGATCACCTCAGGCGAGGAATAGTAGTGTGCTCAACAAAGATAATACAAAATGTGTTCATTTAGTTTGAACACAAACATAATGCATCAGTTATTTCATATTTCTGTAGAAACATCGATGATGCTTCTCTAATATGCATTTGGCATATAGAAACTAGGAGGTTATTTGAATTTCCTCTAAACTTCCAATGCTGAGGACTAAGTGTATATATAAGGGACAAATATGTATGTTCCTTAAAGTCCAAGTCCTACTTGGCATTTACTGATTTCATCTCATTACAGTATTTGGGTTCAAGAAAAAACAGTTTCTAGAATACAATTTGGAATTGTATTTTCCTATTAGCAAGTACTCCATTGTTACTCAAGTACTGTGGTCTGCCAAGTAGAAAGAAGAGAAAACTTTTATTGTCCAAGGAAAGCCAATTCAGGGAACTCAGTATATATATCATTAATTTTTGGTACTTATATCGTAGCACTTGTTATAACATTCAACTTGTTTTATACGAATTCTATTTGATTCCATTTTAACTGTGCTGATATCAGATATATGTAATGCGAAAAAGCAAATATTACAATTGACAACACCACACATGGAATTCCTATCCCTTTCCTTTTACCTTACATAGCTGAAACATAATATAGAATAAAAATGGATGAAAGTGTGTGGAAGTATTTGAGCCATACGTCTTGGGAATTACATTAAAATTTTGCACAAGCACTTTGAGAGTTTGAGGTAAACAAAGTGACGGGAGGTGAATAAGGTCACAGAATGGTGGCCGAAACTTCGACATTGTGCCTAGAACAATCTTCCGGTCAGTCAAATAGCTACTGACTCAGGCCGCAACAGTCTATGTTTTCAACTGATCTAAAGGTCATTTGCTAACTCCATTAGATAGCCTTCCTGTTAAGAGTCTACAGGATATGAATTGACTCTTCAAGTTTAGTTTGCCTCTTTGTTTCGGCAAGGACAAAAAGCAAGTTTCTCATCTAGGAGAATGATTGACTAGTCAAAGGACTTTTCAATCTATTGCCCTTGCAACTTTTTATACAAGCCAAAAGAAGGCAAATGATCCTAAATACCTTGTTTAAATTATAATTTATCATTTATGGTAATTAATTTCATTTCATAGCACATTGCACATATTTTTATTTATGCTGCCATTAACTTCATAACTTTTAGTAAGTGGTTACCTCTAATAATTGCCAATTTTTGCCAGAAGCATTGGTGATCGCTATAGTTCAGATTTTTAGATTTAGAAGTTTCAGTGCAGATTGAACTCTTCCACTTAATTAAAATGGGGCAGTCTTCTGCTTTTATTACAGTTATTGTGATGCAAGAAAGGAAAATGTGTTAATATGAGTAAATATTAACGCCATGAATGAGAAAACTACTTACTCAGTTTTATTTCTTCTCATACTGTATCCCAGATGAGATGTTTGTCGCAAGGCATCAGAGAATTGATTTATAGCTTTACTGAACAATTATAAAATGATGAATGATATGGAATATGTATTAGTTCGCATATGGCATATTACAATCATATCAAGAAAACGCGTATTACTTAGAGGCCTTCTAATCCAGAATCATGGCTGCCAGAGCCATCTGCACATTTTGATAAGTTCTGTTGTATTCTGTTCATGTTTAAAAAATGAGGATAGACTTATGCTCAAAACGAATAAATAAATAAATTGCAAGCTCAGTTTTTGAATTAAGGAACTATTCATGATAAATATTGATTAGATTACTTTTCCTTTACTAATCATCTTCCTAATTTGATTGTGCTACACTTCAGTTTAACTTGTAATGAAACTAGTAATTCACTACATTGATTATTTCTCTGCCTAAGTTTAATAGTTCAGATCCTTAATGCCGGTCTTGACTTCTGACAATGTATGTATATTTACTGTGGTAACATGCAAAGTTAAAATAAATGTAAGAATTAAACAGTTGGAGAGAAAATCTGAAAGCAACGTTTTAACAATTGTTAGAGAACGACTTGTACACAATTTTCATTATTTAAAAAAAGTATTAAAATAATCTGGTATCCCATAGTGGTGTGAGAAGCAATGGAAAAGAAAACAACAGATTTTCAACATGTATAAAGGCGATGAAACAACTAAATAAACACAACAGAAGTCTAGCAAACGTGGGAAAGTCTCTTACCAGATCACCTCTTGGTAGATAAAGGTTTATGATAAGGCTTTTGCAAAACTTGTTGCTTCAAACCTACTAATAAAGCCTTAAAAGAATGGAAAATAATGTGTAGGACAGGTATGAGTATTGGAAAAGGAGCATTCATTACACCCTACTGTTTGCAATCAAAATGCAGTGGCAGAAAATGAAAATGTTGCCTTTATGCCTAGTTGTGACTGGAACAGTATGGAAAATGAATGGAAATTAATATGCCGAGTGTGAGCTAGTAGATAGAAAATCCCATGAATCCTGGTTGTCCAAAGGGCTTGTATAGATTACTTAAAAGGTATTTTATCTGCATGAAGCTTTGAGGCCTGTTTCTCATTAAGCATGTGGCTTGAAAAGGATATCACATTATCACAATATCAATATTCATGAGTTGCAATAACAGCACAAAAAGGACTTGCAAAAGAAATACAAGGGAAAATAGCCTCTTGCCAGTTGCATCCAATTGGAAAATGACAACAAAATAATTACAATAGAACTCGATCAGTGCAGTTCAGACCTCAAAATGGGGAAACACAAATATTAACAATAAAATAAAAAAAAATAAAAATAAAAAAAAAAATAAAAAAAAAAAATTATACATTTTTTAGTTTTACCTTTTTTATTTTTTGTAATATTTTCCTTGAATTCCCAGAAAATGATTTAATGATATCCTTCACCTTATTCCTTAGACTTACTGATTTAGTTTTCAACAAAAATGCAAATAAATATAATGTTCTGTTAATAACAAATAAATATAATGTGTATGCAATAATTCCAAAATTAATTCATTTATTTTGTTACTTTTAACACTTACTTTTTATACATAATTAGCAACTTATATAAAAATACATTCATTTTCTAATGGATTTGCTAATTTATCTACTTTTTTTAATTAATTATTCATTTAAAAAAATATGATACAAAAAATTGCAAACAACTTGAATATAATCTTTCTTTGGAAACCTTTAGCTTTCAAGTTCCTGAATAACTGACTTTATTTTTTGGATAGCAGCATCCACATCATCATCAGTAAGATCACCATGAGTTACCAATCTTACACTAGTCTCATTTTTGGGATATGCTTTCACTATTACTAACTTGTTTCCCAATATTGTTTTCTCTTGATCTGTGACCTGCAAATATTTTTTATATTTGTGATTTTTTTCATAATAAATAATAAAAAAATTGTTGTTATACTTACTGTAGAAAGACGTTGACAAAATTCTTGAGCGTTCATGTATTTAGAATCGATGTTTAATAAAATGATATTTGTATGTTGATTCTGGATGTCAACAGTGATTTTCTTGCTTTGTAAATTAACAACAGCTGACAAGGAAAAAAATGTAATACAAGCCAAATACACATTCAAAATAAAAATTAATTATGAAATGTTCTCACCATGTGCAATCTTTAAAGCTCTAGCATGATCTTTAATTAATCTTTCTGTTCGACTTTCACCTATTGCTATTAGACCAGCAGCAGCAATGATGCCAACTTGTCTCATTCCTCCACCCAAAGCCTTTCTTGATCTTCGTGCTCTGAAACATAACAGCTCTGGGATAATTACACAAAATTTCAGAGAACAACAAAAGAATATATACTGATAAATCATTACCCTTTGATGAATTGTTTAGAACCCACAAGCAATGATCCTATTGGAGCACCAAGACCTTTACTCAGACAAAAACTTATTGAAGCAAAATCACGAACAATTCGAGAAGGAGGTACTTGTTGATAAACAGAAGCATTAAATAGACGAGCGCCATCCATATGCAATGGAATACCTCGTAAATTTGCAATATAAGCCAGCTACAAAATGTACACAATAAATAAGAAGATAGACACATTTAGTAAAATCTGATAAAGTTTCTATTAGATTTTCTTCCAACAACCTTATCTAGCCAATCAAGAGGCAAAGCTTTTCCACCACACAAATTGTGTGTATTTTCTACACATATAAGGGCTGTTACTGGTTCATGATCATCATCCCCTCGAATATTCCTTTCAAGCTCACAGAGATCAAATGTACCATCAACTTTATTTGGAAGTGTACGTAACTGCACACCAGCAATCTAGAAAATATAACAATTAAATATAATTCATCTAGCTATATTCCACTTAATTTCCATTTATTTCAATAATGTACCTGAGCAGAATTGCCCTGTTCATATTTGAAAATATGACTACTGTCTCCCACAATTATTTCACTGCCCCGTTGGTTACAATGTCTCATAACTGTAAGGAAAAATATAATTATATTTTGAGTTAGTATTAATCACATGCTTTACACTAAACGAAAACTGTTGAGCTGTAACATACTAGCAATCAAATTGGCCATTGTACCACTAGGCACGAAAAGAGCAGCCTCTTTGCCCAGAAGAGATGCAGCTTTTTTTTCTAAGGCTGTAACCACAAATAATTTTGTTTATAAAATAAAAAACAACAAAAATATGTAAATAGTCAAACATTATCCAAGAAAAAAAAAAAAACAATATAAAAATTAAATACCCATAACAGTTGGGTCTTCTCCCATTACATCATCTCCAACTTCTGCTTCAAACATTGCTTTCCTCATTAATGCATTAGGTTTTGTTAAAGTGTCACTCCTTAAATCTACCACCTGCATCTGCTTGTCACAGATGTCAATGATGAAATATGAAATGTAAATGGAAGCAGTTAATTTGTAAGCCATACAATGACTGGAAAAAATATTTATTTCTTCATTGCCAAATTTCCAAAATTATTTTTACCTCTTTATGAGTGATGGCCTCATTTGAATACATTGTTCTTCTATTTTTGTACCAAATACTCTTAAAAGTTGCAAGTTTTTTAAAAGGCAAAAATCTCTTGATGTGAAATGTTAACATTAAAAACCCACAAGCTGAAAATATATTTATAGAATATTTGTTATCTTCAGGAACTAGCCTTGTTTACATGAATTTTCAACAAATTAATATTAAAGAAAATTAAAAGAAACAAACGAGACTCATAATATGCAAGAAAATAATTTGCACAACTGCTTTAAAAAAATAAATCCTGTATTAAAAAAAAATTTCTTAAAGGGTTAATTTTGATTATCATTGTTTCATTTAAACAGGATTTAATGTTTTAATAACTGTGCTATTGGGAGTCCTTTGATCTTTATTATAATGTTTAATTACAAAATAAATAATTAGAGTACAACTATTTTGGGAAAATGTAAAATGGGATAGCCCAGAAGGAGTATCATAATGTTTGCATTTGCATTTAGGTGCAACCAATGGGTTCCTCTCAGGATTATTCTGTTACCTTCTCCAATGATGAACCAATTACAAATACCCATCCTTCTTTAATTAAAGATCAACCATTGACCCGACCATCTCGTGATCACGCTAAATTGGTTTATTGATATTATTATAAAATATCACTTACTGGCAAAAACATTGGAAAATATTAGTTCCTTAGCCGACTTTATCTATGTTTACACAGATACTACATTAATCGCGGTCAAAGTTCGTCATTTTTTCTCCGATCACTCCCGCTAAAGAACACTTGGAAAGGAGGGAAATTCAAAGAACACGAATGGGAGATCAAAAAAGGTGGGGAATACGTTTTGGGCTTGGACTGTTATCGTAATTTATGACTTCTCTGAATCAAAAATGTGTTACCGACAACATCAACTACCAACATAATAAGCATTGTTCGTCATACTTTTGAAATCTGTGAAAATGCGAACAACTCCAATAGGACGTCCACGGTAAGCTTCACACATCACGTAAATATTGAATTGAGATTAAACTTTGTACATGTAATATAACAATTGACGTAAGTATATTAACATCATTAAAAAGCGATAAAGACGCCGCAGTGTTTACCTTTACACACATTTCTTGTTGCTAATATGGATACTTTTTTGTTTCCAATCATATTGTTTTAATAAAAGATAAACAAACAATACATAGTCTATGGTATTAACATCTATCACGACATGTGTGTACTAAAAACTGTTACAGCGACTGTGTTGAAGAATGACCTGTTTTGGCATGATTCTAAACTTCATCTCAGATGTAGTAGTAGTAGTGGTTATCCTTACATAAGAGTGATTTGAAGCATCTGGCGGTACATAATAGTTCTCGGTATTAAAAAAAAAGGCAACAACCAACTTTTCTGTTTTGTATGCGAAACTTATGTTTTATTCTTTCTGAAATGTATTCCTATTATCATTTTGGATCAATGTTAAGACCAATAGCTAACATTTTGTAAACATACGGCGTGTGACCGTAGGTCAGTACGCGGTGTTTCTAGTGAGTGACAAATTCACGAAGGGAAAGTTTTCCCGTATATCCTGCCATTATATACTCTGAATTAAAACAAGAGTTATAAATTATAGTAGTTGGCTGCTATTTCAAGTTTGCTCAATGCACTTATAATTTAGGCCATATGGTCGACGTTGATGACTCATTCACCGTGATTCATTCTTATGCTATGACTGGACCTAAGACTTAATATAGAGTATATTTGTTCATCTGCATTTACACGGATGTCTTGCCTATAATTAGCGTTCTTAAACACGTTCAAAATAAGAACTAGGTTGTAGTATCATCACCTAATTTACCCCGACGGATGAATTTATTAGACCGAAGAGGCAGATTAATCATAACATTTGACCGCTGCACCAAACCATGTACTAATATGTAAGCGTTTGTGCATAGTCCTATTTATTTCAAAATTAATTATTGTGTGGCGACTAGGTGTAGAATCTACAAACCTGTCATCAGTGCCGTAGCTAGGTAATTTTGGGCCCGACGCAATTCGAAAACTTAGCCTCCCTCCCCCCAAACAATTAAAAATGTGAATGTTATATCAATAAACTATACCACTTATTTTATTTAAACAAATAACAAAAAAATACAACTCTAAAGATAGCAACAATTTTGGAAATATATTTTAAAACTATTTTTAAGTAAAAGTATTTAGTGGTTGAATAATACAATATCCACAGTGACCTTAAAACACTAAAAAAATGTGTTTAGTTAGTGTTTAATAAAATAATTTGTTACATATACGGAATAAATATGAATGTCAGTAGAACCTATTTTAATGTAAGCGTCATTTGATTCATTTCATAGAGGCATACATTATAAGTAATGGCTATAATTGACTATTTAAGGTAAAAAATTAATTGAAAACTTTATGAATTATCTGCCGCGACTCATACAATTTCGATAACTATTTTCTCGAGTTCTAATTTCTTTTTCCATTCTGTATTATTTTTTTACCTATCGGACACCATGACTTGCGGGCCCTCGGGCTACCTTCCGGTCTGCCCATGCCTAGCGCCGGCACTGTCTGTCATATTTAAATATGTGATGGACGATATATGTATTTATTTTGGACGGCATGATTGTGAGAATTTTGTTTAGATTTTGACAAATAAATACTAAGTGAAAGCGACTGACTATATACATATATTGAAATTTTTTTCATATGTATATTCTACCCAAATCTCGTTTTAAAATATTTAGCAGAAAGTAGCCTGACGTACAGATAATAAAAGTAAATAAAAGAAAAAATTATTTAACACATTTGCTGATACTAGTTAAATGAAAGGGTAGTTGACAAGAGGTTAATCCAAAATGCAAAGCGACGAAACAAAAGGTTTGTCAAACATTTCGCAATTCTAACGCGCTTCAAATAAGTCCATACTCGAGTGATTTGTTAGTGAGGCAGCTGTGCGTTCGAAACATGGCCGAGTTCTTCGGCCCTGAACAGCCGACCAATCAGCGTGAGCTTTCCCCTCACGGAGCTCGACAAGCAGCGCCTCTGCACGTCGAAGCTGCAACTTATCGGGCGTCGGCCGGCAGAGGCGAACATTCCCGTTGTAACTGTCATCTGGTACAGTGGTTGGCTCCGAAGAGCCTCCTCATGGTATTTCGTTGACAAAAGTTTGTTTTTATAGTGTATATAGGAACTATTTGTGTGTTTAATTGTGCTTGACTCGCAGAACGTTTTTATCTTGCTCGCGAAGGAGTGAAAACTTAAATCACTTTCGTTGACCGTGTGTGTAGGCAGTGTGGTGAACGTACCGCATAACATAAAGAATCAACATGGCGGATAGTGATACAAAATTTGACCGGTCTGATCCGGAGTTGAAATACCTTTCTGTCGATAGAAATATGTTCAATGATCCCGCCACACAAGCTGAATGGACCCAGAAAAGGCTGGTGTGGGTTCCCCACGAAACCCATGGCTTCGTGGCTGCAGGCATCAAAGGCGAACGTGGCGACGAAGTGGAAGTGGAAATCGTGGAGACCGGCAAACGCACGTTGGTGGCAAAGGATGATATCCAAAAAATGAATCCGCCAAAATTCGACAAAGTTGAAGATATGGCAGAGCTGACATGCCTCAATGAAGCCTCCGTCCTGCACAATTTGAAGGATCGCTACTACTCCGGCCTTATTTATGTAAGTAAATTGTAACCTAGCTAGTTCATTAGCTTGACGCTTGTGCATTCTTGAGTATTCTTTTGTAGTAAAGAAAAAGTTTCAATATTTAACGTTTCATTTTCTTACAAAAAACATTTTACCCTATTCAAAAAAAATTAGTTTCTTGTTATTCCATTAAGTTTACTTTGTGACAAGTGCGCAGTTCACCTGCCCATTGTTATGATACACAGGTTTGCGTAGTTTAATATTGATATTTTAATTCGTGATACTCGCTTTGTATGGTAAATTTTTGCTCATTGCTTTCTTCAGGTTTCGTTTACTCCGGTTTTAGACTATCAAACATTGGTTGAAACTACATAATATTTGCAATTTCTGAAGGAAATTGTTCAAGCACATTTTTAAGGATCCGTTTTCATTTGATAAATTGATAGAACGAATGTATTGTATCTCAATATTTAGCATGTGTTTCTTCACTGGAAATATTTTCCAAGACTGAAATGTGAATGTGTGTCGTTAATTTGTCGTTGTAAACAATCTTTTGGTTGTGACAATAATTCCCTTGTATTGGAAACTCACTGTAAAAATAAGTTTCTTCGTTGTTTGTATCTTTAAATTTAGATTTATTTAGTCAAAAAAACAGTAGAAACTGTACGTGACGTATGCCCGAGAAAATCTGCGCAAGTTTTCTTGAGTTTCAGAATTCCTTCCCATCATAAATCCAAATCATAAATAATTGAAGGATGAATAAAAGTTAAAGATAAATAAAATGTAAAAAAGCGCGAAATTAGCAACATTCGAAAAACTAGACATTTTCATTCCCGAGCTATAGAAAACTTATTTGTAACGGTGAACGAACTGCAGGGTTGATTTTCTGCATTGCTAACAAAATAGTTACTCATCCTTACCTCTACTCCTACCACTACAAGCAAAAGGAGAGTTCAATAAAAAATGCGCATAGTGAAGCTACATTTACGTCCAGAAGCAAAGCAAGGGGCCATCTCAGCATTTGCCCAAATTATAAGGGAAACTGGACAAAAACCTGATCGATATTAACGTGGAAGTCTCGATAACATAGAGATCATGTCAGTAAGAAACAGTCAGGAACTGCAAATTTACTGACTTGTAATGTCAACGTACTAGTGAGCCAGAAGTAGTAACTGCCAATTATGTTTTAATTTTATATGCTCATGAAAAATTGAACATAAAAAAGGTAGCACTGGCAAAATTGAAGGTCTTGAATGGAATTTATTATGTTAAAGGGGAGTTTCGTTCCGAGTTGGTTGACTTAGTCTAACGCGAAGTAAAATTTGTTTGCTGCAAAAAGTGCAATCTGATATACGTTCTACACCTATGAAAGCATTTACAGTTTCTGTAAGGCAGCATTCGTGATAAGTTTGAAAAATAAAGGATGGATAAGAGTCCTGGATGGAGAAAAGATATCGTAATCTGATATCTGCATACTTTTACTTTGCTGTTTCACTTCATTTATGTATTTCAGTGAATATGTACTGACATGTAAGTGAATTAACTAGAAGGAAATTTGCAACATTTTTGGTTGCGTTTGAAAACTTGTATATTGCAAAGAATTCAACTGCGCTTGTTCAATCCATAATTTAAAGGAATCTTTCATACCTGCTATCATATGTTTCAAATTTTTGTGTACTATCACGAGAGAATTGATAGTCGATTACGAATTGAAAACTATTTTTGGCTCAAAAAATATTCGTTTATTGTTGGCTGGGGTTGATGGCATAGCAAGTTTTAGCAAAGGAAGAAAGAAAATACTAGTTATAATCAATGTGGCTTCGGAGGAGGAAGTGCCTCCAACAAGACTTTGATTTACATCCAGACTTAATGGTATTGCATTAATTTAGTCTTAGGACATGTTATTTTAATGGAGTCTGTGGATGTGGAGGTGTTAATGGGATGAATTATGTTATGACAAGGCATGCAGTGCATGAATACATTTTTTTCGACGTGGTGGCGTGCTAGATCGGTGTTGTTTCAGTGTGAGATCGCCCTCTGGATTTGCAACCGCACCCCGTGGCTCCCCCAACCGAACATTTCGTGGATCATAATACCATACGGCATTCTTTACTCCTACGTTTTCTATTGTGGGTATGCTTCTAACAAAAATAAATGATTTGACGGTGAATGTTCCTTCGACAAATTTACTAATCCTACTGATGTATTTTATTTGTTGTAATAATGTGAGAACGCTATTATAGTACAGGCCCATAGTTGTTCTGTAACCTGAGTCTTGAAGATATTTTGCATCATGTTGCCGCATAAAATAGTACATTGAAAATGATTTTATGTCGAAATGTTTGTCTGTGAATGCATTGTGAATGTTTAGACTGCGGCACTGTCAAATGAATGCGCAAATAACAAGCTACATAGAATGTCTCGCCTACTCGCACCTCGCTTTGGCGACGCTCGTCAACATTTGACAATCAAAATAGAATGCAGAATTTTGGTAACCTTTTCTGGTGTAAAAACTACTTGGCGACGATTTTTTTTGTTTTGTTTTGTTCCACAGTTTCCTTGATCACCCTGCGATGAAGTTTATTTGCTTATGTTCTGTACTGTTCAGCCTGTCAGCTTTTCCCTTTCAGCGAAGATACGGTTTAGGTTGAGGTGAAAGGGGGGGGGGATTTACAAGGTAGAACAAGAGAAGAGGTATTTTGCGGAAGAGATACTAAAAGTCATCTTTAGAAGTTGATTTTTGATGTTAAAAGTGGGATTGTCTCGTAAACAAGCGGAGTAATGGTTGCGGAGCAACTTGTTAGTAATTTTTGTTAGTTCTAGAATGGTTGGCGTTGTCTTATTTGATTGCAAGCTTCCAAGAAGCAAGGCAATTACGCGAGAAAAAAACACAAAACAACCTAACTGTGTTCCTGCACCAAAACACCCTGGACTAAAACAAATAGAGGATACTCCTTCACCGTACTAGTTCTGCTTGAAGGAGGATTCCTTCAAACGGAAGCAGAAGTGTTGCCAGTAGAGGCGAATAAATGGTTTCACTATCGCAGCACGTTTTCTTGAGTTTTGAGGTGTGTTGAGTGTGGGGAATTCAATTACATCAACAGCGTTCCAAAAAGCAAGTCTTTCTCCATTTTGTCGCGGTAGTGGAAGAAGTTCTCGCTATAGATTCCTTGTTTTGGGGGCACGATAAGAAGTAGTAAGAAGAGTAAGGTTCCTTATGTCACCACGAATTCTGCTGCGTGGGATAGATACCAGTGTTTGACAGCCACCTGCAACTGTCACTATAAAACGCATAGTGATGCTGACCGAACAGTTATTTCTTGAGGGTTAAGAAAATATGAAAATCGTCGAGGGAAAGGGGGGCCAAATGCGGACTCTCAGAAGAACTCTTGCGGGTCTTTTGTGGCAGTTCGTTTAATTAAGGAAAAGTTTTTTGAGGTTGAATATCACAGTGTCAACATATGCGTCTAGTACAAGAAAGGGGGAATACAACAAATGTAGTGGGCGATTTGATATAGCGAAGTGCGATTCTTTTCCTCTCCTTTCGGAGCTGTTCGTTCTCGTGGTGGTCGGGCTGCCAGGCTCAGGAATGATTGTCCATTTCGGCACAGTGTGAATTATATTCAGGTTAGTATTACCTTTCGGAGGCAGCGTCCGATTTGCCCCGGTAGGTCACGGCCGGTGGGGCGCGTGTCACGGGACCGGTGGCAAGCCGGGTTCGGCATGCTACCTCCCCCACGTTGTCCACCTCAAGGCCGTCGCCGGCAGCGCTCTGCCTGGCGCGCGCGAATCCTCCCCCTCTTCCGCCGCCTCTTCGACGCCGTTGACCGCGCGCCGTGCGTGTGGTGTTGTCGTGCCGTGCGGGGCCACGCTGGAATGTTCCAGTTCCTAACTCGCTTCATTTTTTTTCTCGTGATGACAGGATTCGTGACAGTGGGAGATCCTCGCTATATTTGCCTAAATTGGGCGGAATATAAGCAAAGGAAAATGGAGAAGATTCTTGACAGGTCTGGTATTTTTAGTGTTCCCATACATCAGGGAAGATTTTCAATTTTTGTGTTTCTCGTGTAGAAAAAATTATTTTGTTTGCAATTTTATTACTAAGATTGTGTAATCAAGAAAATCATGTGTAAACTTGCGTAATATTCAAAAGTACATATTACTCGCGCAAGTTTTCTTGAGACAAGATTTCCTTAGCCCTCACGCGGCGCTGAATAGCACGGCACGTTGAGGTACTTAGGTTCGACTCGGAACGGCACGTACAAATTTACAACGCTGGCAACAATCTCCTCGTACCCTCAAAACAATCGTATATCTCGTGGCAGGCTTTGGCGCTCATGCCTACAGTTGGTACGTCCTTTTAAGAAGTGTCGTAGTCATAGCCCTTCTCTCCCCACAACCTCCGCCGTGGAATACCAGGAAAACTTGCGCGTATAGTACACATTTCATTTAAAATTTGCGAACAAATAGAAACTGCCCCAATGAGTGATATACAATTCGAAAAATGTAGATAAACACATTTTGTTTGTTTTTCCTTTAAGATACGTAGCTGCTTTTCTTAATTTGGGTTTACATCGTAGTCATTGAAATGTTTGGAAAGTTAATTTTTACGAAAATTACGTAACAATGAGTCGCGATGGAATATTTTGAAGAATGAACAACATAAAATGTAGAAAGAAAGACGTAACGTGCACACAGATTTCCGATTTGAAAACATTTTTATCGTGAAGCTAATAAAGGGGAACTCTGTCGACTGTCCGAAAACATTCTGACGACAGTGAATTGCACATTCCGGCTGCGTGATGCGAGATTAGAAAAGGTGTATAGAGTAGACATCTAATAGATAAGTAATCTCTCTGGTACAGATAGGGATTGTAACTGTCGTTGGGCCTCATGGACAGAAGAATCTTCTCGACATTCGATGTTTGTCCGTGCCGTTCATTTTCCGTAAATTTAGCTTTTTCGCTGTTAAACAATGGAAACTGCAGAACATTGGGATTTCGCGTGTATTTGGTAAGAGATGATTTATTTAA